GAGCCACAGCCCTGGAAAGCGGGCAGAGCGAAGGTTACGGCACCCCTGGGCCTCAGTGTGGACCCCTCCCCTGTCTCCCCATCCTGAGGACACCTGCTTCTCCTGGGGCCGGTGTGGGGACCGTGGGGGACACGGGGCACTGTTCACAGCGGGCCTGGCTCCATGCCTCCCAAAACACTCACCCTGGCCCAGCGGCTCCAGAGCCCCAGACTATTCGTCCCCGACTCTGCCCAGGGAGACGGTTCTCAGAGCGCAGAGGCCCTGGCTCTCACCCCCACATCCACGGCGCTCTGTGCCGCCAGCTTCTACGGCTTCTACACGTCTGCTCACCGGGTCCCGTCCCCCCGCTTCCCATGAGAGCCCCTGGGCCAGGAACTGGTTTGTGCGGTTCTCCCTGCAACCCCGCCTGGAGGTGCCTGCAGGTGCCAGGCTCAGGCGGCACTTGTGGGATGAGTGAACCTACGACACCCCGAGTTTCATCTTTGCTGGCACCGGGCAGCGAGGTGACTTGACCAAGGTCATGGGGTCAGTTAGGGACCCTTTCTTTCCACCGTCTCTTCTCCAGGGAGAATCTTGGGGGATAGGCCTGGCCTTGGTGGAAAGGAGTCCCACTTGACAAACAGGAAAATAGAGCCCAGGGAGTAAAGACAGTTTTCCAGGGTCCCTGGGCCAAGGCGAGGTCAACAGGAACAGGTGGGCACGAGGACGGGCTTGGAGGAAGCTGTCGGCCTCAGAGTTTGTCCCTGTGCCCACGGAGGCCTGGCTGGGGGGACAACGGGCCCCCGGGAGTCCAGGCGTCCTGAGCAGGGAGGGCCGCACCGAGCGGGCAACGGGTTGGTGAGGAGGGCGGGTGCCCCTCTCTGACTCCTGGTCTCTGCTTCAGGGAAGCCCGCAGACCATGCCTTGGGCTGGTGGGGACAGGGGTCTGAGGCCTGAAACATGTCCATCCCAGGTCACTGACCTCGCAGGACATGCAGCATTAGGGACTAGCCCCCCACTTTCCTCTACCAGTAAATACCAGTCACGCCTTGGGGCCAGGCTGGAGAAGATCCCTGCCCCCCAGGCCGCCAAAATCGCAAACCACGAAGTGCAAACAGTGGACAGGCAGGCTCCATCCAGCCTCGGCCCAGCTGGAGCCAGCAGACTCAGGCAAGAAACCACCAGAGACATGGACACAGGGCTGTTGAGGGGAGGGGTGGAGCTCTACCATCACCGGGGGCTCCCCTGCCTGCCTGAGGTGTGGGGGGTGTGGGAGGCAGAGGTCCCAGAGCCAGTGCTCCTGCCCAGCTGTGTGACCCCATGTCTACGTGACAATGTCTTTACCTCCCACCTGGCGACAGTGCCCACCTGTGCCATGGGGGCTGCTCAGAGAGCAGCTGCCAAGACTAGTGATGGCTCGTGTGTGGTGCACAGTCTACGGCGAGTGGGGCCCCTGGTTGGGTAACACAAGTGGGGTAATAGCCAGCTCCCAGGAGAAAGCCTGGCCCTTAGGCGGAGAACAGACAGCACCTCCGGTCCCCTCAGGTCCTCCCAGCCCCACAGGAGCCCCGTCTCCAGGGCCATGGGAGAGAAATGTTCCCGAAGGGCAGGCCAGGCAGGAAGGGCAGCGCTCTGACAAATGCTCACAAACGCCCGTCGCCTGCAGCTGCTGCCGTCTCCATGACAGAGGCCAGCAGCTGAGCCTGCTGCCAGGCAGCGCCTCCAGGGACCACAGGCCGGCGGGGACGGCTGGGAGGGTGCGGAGGGACAGGCAGAGGGGTGGCCACGAGGAGATGAGGGCACCCAGGCTCCTGGTGTCCCTAAGGCCTGGGGAACACTGGCAGAGCTTCAGAAGGCCCAGGACGGCAGAGTTTTCTGGAAACGCTCTTCTCTGGCCACGGTGACCTGTGCTCCCCTGGTTCTGCCACCTCTCCGGCGGCTGCCCCCTAGTGCCGTGCAGCCCCCCTGCTCGCTCTCCAGTCTGTCTCCTGGTGGTGGCATCTGGTCCATGATTATTTTCAAAGCTGCCTCTAGCTCAGGGGCTCCCACATATGCCTCTGACCCCCCACTGAGCTCTGGATGGGGCAGCCATGTGCATGGTGGACAGCCCTGCATGGCATTTCAAATTTGGCAGGGCCACAGCGTAACTCTTGGTCCCCTCAACTGTCCCCATCTCAGGAACTGGCGTCACTGCCCATCCAGCTGGTGCAGCCCCAACCAGGGAGCCGTCCTTGATCCCTGGGCCCGTGTTGGGTCCACCGCAAGACAGGGCAGGGGGCTCTGTCTTCAGGGCACATCTTGCCTCCTACGGGCCCCGTGTCAGCCGCCCCAGCCCTGGTACCCGGTCAACTCCAAGGCGAGTTCCTGATTGGCCTCCCTGCCTCTCTCACTGCAGAATTCACCCTCCATGCACCAGCGGGGGTTCTTAAAAAGTGTCCATCAGAGCACAGCACTCCCCAGGGGCTTCCTGCTGGATCTAAATAAAACCCAGCCCCTCACCCCTGGCTCCAGGATCCCACACACTCTGGTCAGTTCCTCTCCAACCTCAGCCCTTACACGTGCTCCCTTCCTCACGATGCCCTGTGCCCTGGCCTGGAGAACGCTGCTTAGGGACTGGCTTCTTCCAGCCACCCGGGCCCCAACTCCAAATGAGTCCTGTTTCTTTCCAAGCGATTCTCATTACCCAGGTCATCTGGGTGATGGACTTGTTCCCTGGGTCCCAGGCTGTGTCTCCCACCAGAATTTGTCTGGACCCCCATGTCCCTCAAGAAGAGGGCCTGGCACTCAATAATCACTGTTGTTGTTTTTTAATTGTGAATCCTCACCCGAGGACATTTTCCCATTGATCTCTTAGAGAGAGTGGAAGAGAGGGAAAGGCAGAGAGAAACATCGATGTGAGAGAAACACACCGATCGGTTGCCTCCTGCACCGGCCGACCAGGCCGGGGAGGAGCCTCCAACCAAGGTACGTGCCCTTGACCAGAATCGAACCTGGGACCCTCTGGTCCACGGGCCGGTGCTCTATCCACTGAGCCAAACCGGCCAGGGCTCAATAATCACTGTTGAGTGTGACTGTGCGGAGGGGCCACGCGAACGCTGACGAAGGCCTACGCGGACGGACAGTGTGCCTGCAGGCACTCCTGTGCTCAGCCCAGCAAGCCCGCTGCGCATCTGTGTGCATTCTGTCTGCAGAGCGCAGCTGCCGTGAGGTCCCTCCTTCACCCTGGCCACCTGGGGCCTGGCTGCCCTGCCCAGGGAGACCCCTGCCAGGTCTTCACACACCATGGGCACAGGGCAT